TGCCGAGTCTCCGGGGGCTGGAGCAAATCCCAGCTGGCATAGGGTAAGAGGCAGGGTACACCCTGGACCAGTCGCCAGTTTATAGAATTGAATTGACTAGATATCATTGTAGTTATTCTTCATAAATGTCATGATCAGTTATCCTCATTCTCACTGCATATATGTGCAGCATATATATACATTATACTTAGTTCCATTTTTAATTTCTAATTTCTGTACTGCCTCCCAGGGCCATGCAGTGACCATTGGAAGGGCAGGTGCTCAAAGTATAAAAGGGTCACATGGAACAAGGATTTAAATAGGGCTGTTCTCAAAATATTTTTTTGATTGACTATATGTCTAATCATAAATCTAAATAAATAAACTAACCATGACAGAGCAGCATTTATCTTTCACATTAACATTTCATACCTTTCTCTGAAATCTAATAGGGCCATTTCTGCTTCACCCTTCACTTTGATGTCAAAAATATTATTTATTTTACATTAACACTGACATTTTAATATGTATTTACAGTTATTTAGTTAATATAGTAGGTTTTCTGTTGTAAACACAGTTAAAATGTAGGCTAAATCTATTCCAATACTGTTCTGATTTAAATGATCATTTAAAAAAGGGCTGATAAGTAAGTAGTACGTCGGAGGAATAAGTATCAGTATCAACGGTGGTATTACCAATGGTATTATAATTATTTTAACGCACACTACATTTTTTTATTAAGCTACTGTAATAGCTCCTGGTTCAAGTGAAAGGTTTTTAGTCAAATTACAGAAAAAATACCAGACCTCGCAACATCTGTGAAACTTTTCTCCCTCAAACAGCAAGAACGAAGTGAACAGAGCACCTTTGTTTAACTGTGTATAGAAGTAATGTTAACTGTCGGCACACTGTTAGCCGGCAGCTAACGTTACTTCTACAGGCGACGCACAGCAATGTACACAACTACTGTGCTGCTCTCTTTGCGTCTTGCTAGCAAAATAAATCAAACAACCCACAACAAGCACATTGAGGTAAACCCCTCTTACCAGAATCGCAGGTGTCGGCAGTGCTGCTGAATAACTAACGGTGTCTGAACGGGAGGGCTCAGGTGAAAGGTCATTTTCTTTACTGCAAAATTATTATTCATTAATTTTACTAATAGTTTGATTGGGCCCTTACAAATTTTAAAATAAATAACTAGACTAAATTTTTCATTGGCAAAAGGGCACTTTGGGCATCAAAGTGCAAAACGGCAGGAGCTCAAGCACCCATTGCACCCCCCTCTGCACGTGTCTGCTGCCTCCAGGGAATAGCCTTATGCTGGCACTGACAAAAACTTTCTCCTTCTCCTGCCTATACTCTTTAACATTTTACCAAACTATATGTCAGCCAATAAATGGAAGCATATACAACCTTAAATGTGGAAACAGGTAGGTGAGGCGACAGAGTTTCCTGAACCTTTGCTAATGCTGCATTCATGTCATAATGGAGTTACAATATTAACTAGTACTATATAATATTAACATTGTAAATATTGTTCATGCTGCTGTTACAGTGGTACTTTCAACTGGGAAACTTGTGCTTTGTGAAACTACAACATCTGTCCTTTAGGGAGGGACCTTCTGCCCTTTTCAATTAAGGTGAAAGAGATTGTTGATTTATGGAATTTATCTGATAATTAAAAATACAGAATAACTCTGCACAGCAGTAGTCAGGCCCACCATTGGGAATTATGGACAGGGGGACAATTTTTTTTAACTGGGCCCCTCATTGACACCCACTTAAGCACCACCTCCACCCACCCTTAGTTCTAATACAAACACAGGCAATTTCAAAGAAGCTCTTGGTCATTAGCCTTATAGGGACACAGATGGAGTCCCTCACAACCATTTCCAAATTCAGTGTTGTAGACTCATTCAGGCCATGCTCGCATACATATTCAATTACTCAATCTGATTATAAAGCACAAAAGGTCAATACAGTTTTTTTTAATCTTTCAAATTACACTGTGACAGTTATGTTCCTCCTTTTTACTTAAAACAAGACAAGAAGAGAAAATGCCCTAATAATAATTTAATAACATTTATTAAAGGTTAAGCAAGCTAAAGCTTTGCTACACGGTGCTTCTTAATAGTTTTTTTGGCCTGAAATTTGGCCATTGCCTCCCCTTTTTTTCTTTTTTTTTGTCATTGTGTTTTGGCTTCTCTTTTCTTGGGCCCCAGACAGGCTGCAGTGTTTGCTTGTTGCGGCTCCTGCACATCTGAATGGCCAAATGTTTCGACCATATTATCTTCACAATAACAGTGGGTAAGTATGAAATATGTTTTATTCATAATAATTTATCCATTTATTTTTCATGTAAATCCATCTTAAAAGAATTGTTATTCAAATAAGACAGTAAGTAAAGTGTCAACCATAGACCTTTGTATGGGCCCCCCCCCCCTAAAGTTGACCCTCTTCTCACCTGTTAGCCTGTAGCCATGCAGAACAACATGCAGCAAAGTCCTCTCAGCTGGACTCAAACCAGGGATGGTGCAGGGCAACTCAACTCCTTGGTCACCATGATACCAAATAATAATACTAATGCTAAAGTTTATGAAAAGCAAATAAACATGGATGCCTTATATTGCCTTTAGATCATCAGTGAAGGTAACTACACTTAAATGCACAATTTTACCCTGTAGCTTAACCCTTACTTCTTTTAGTGTGCAAATTACATCGTTAATCTTTAAGACTTGCACCTTGCGTTTGGGTGGCATAAACACTAATAATAATAATCACTCTATGGGAATCTTACGCATCATTACCCTCCATCCTGCATGATGTAAATGCCACATAAGCGCTTTAAACAGACAGAACAGAGGACACATGGCAGATTTATGCTGTATCTGTCCTCCCATGTTGCTATGTACCCGTACCATGGAGTAGTTGGAGCCACACTGTGCTGTGTGCAGGCAGATCTAAGTATCAGATATTCCCTTTTTCATTTGATGAGGCTTCTGGGTGAGTGAGCTGCAACGCAGTGTGGACATGCAGAGTGTTGACATGCAGCTCACTGTGGGGCGCGTAATCATCATGCAGATCTGGTAGCAGGAGTCAGCAGAGAAGCCTGTCGGGCTGTAAGTGTGTGCGAGTTTTAATGATTAAGGAGAGTATGATTACCATGCAGAACTGGTAGTAAGAGTCAAAGAAGAGGTCTTGAGTTCCTGTGTGGGGACGGGAACACACACATGGCCTGGGAATTGTGTGTGTAGGATTATATGTGCTCATTCTCTGAGGACATTTTACACTCGGCCGCTTAATGATATCTAAACAAATGTGGAGATTTTACATTTCATGGAAGCAGACAGACAGGCGACCGACTTCATTAGAAGAAAACTATTAACATTCACGAGGAGATGAGGTTAATAATGACTTTGTGTGACTTGATGAGACTGAACCTTCACGGTTGGAGGGACGAGAAGTAATGACATGAGGAGAATACCTGCAAGAAATCTGACGTACATTAGCCTGTATCACACTAAGCGAATCAGAGTGGGAGTCATTTCTCACAATATGAAATTTTAAACAAGTGTGTTCAAGGGTTTTCAAATGCTATATTCCTGTTTAAAGTCGTCACCAAAACCAGCTGAAGAGGTAATTAAAGGTCGTTTCTAATGTCGTTAGATTTTACTCTGTGCAGAACTAATGTGGATTTCTATAAGACACACACTGATAACCTACCCTACTGCAGTGTTCCCCTTTCTTGTTTAAACATAATTGAACAACTGATATGGCAATGTGTTATTCATATTCTGTATTGCTATATTATTCTTTAAAAATGCTTCATTCCGACCATTACATTTCAAACACATTGTTTCCTACGCAGCTACAATCAGTACAAAAAAAGGTCCCACATGATGAACAGAAAAGATTCAGTTCCCCCCCATGTTGAGAAATAGAATCTGTTATAGATAAGATAGATAAATGCAATATAACCCCACGGTTACCTGACTAAAGGTTAGTAAAAATCTAAAATAATTAAAACAAAATTGGTTTTCAAGAGGAAGGGGGACAAATCCTGACTATGGTCCTGTTGTGTGATTTTTTCCACGAACACTGCAATTGGTGCTGAACAGTCTTATCAGATTGTATATAAGTGATTGTCCCAAAATGAGATCCTCCATTTTGAAAAACACATGGCTGATCTTATTTCGAAATGATTCCGTTCTCACTAAAATGGTAATCAGTTGTTTACACAAATATGAAAAGCAATTTCAGAACTTCCGGGGAAGATGAGGGTGATTACAGGACAAACAGCCAAGCCATGGATGCAACCAAAGTTATTTTCTTATAAATCCCCGCGTCTTATTCTGCTCCTTCATTCGTCAGCATCTCCTCTACCCTAAATCCCTATCTGTCTGCTGCTCGTACACACTTCAAATAATACAAAACAACTGTGGTGAAGAGTGAAAGGTAGACAGGGTGAGGTGTCTCTGTGTCCTATGAGCACTAGATCCCCTTTACCATCCAGGTCTTACTTTTCTAGTATTCATCATTTCTTTAGTGATCAATTTTTAATGATTTTGCAATCAAAAACAGACAACAGAGACAGCTGGAGCAAGAGGAAAAAGTCACATAACAAGAACCCTCACAGGTCAGTTTATCGAGACAACAGTGTTTCAATAGCCTTGATTTTAGGAGTGTCTTGAGATGAAAAGAGGAAAGGAGAAAAGAAAAAGGAAACTTCTATTAGTTAAAATAACTTGAAATGATGAATCCTCTCATTCCGTGTTTCGATGTTTGGCTGCAGTGTAAGCAAATGCACAGAGCAGCCGCTCATATCTATGGGGCTGATAACCACTGATAACGCTCATTCAATCGAGTGATAACATATTTAGTGCTGAAATCATTTCCAGGACTTGGCAGTTATTATCTGAATATAAATGTATTATGGTACAAAGTAACTAAAATTGTGCAATAAATGTGGATTGTAAGTTGTTTTTGGTTCTATTCAATTTGCAGCTGCTGTTATTCAGAATGACTTTTAATGGATGACAACAGTTTCATTATCTTCCTCAAGGACATTTTAGCAGTCTGGAGGAAGGGGTGGAAACCATGGTCTTTTGTTTATGCCACAGACATTGTAACCACGGAGTCAATCTGTCATCCTTTCCCTGTCTTGTGTTTTGTTTCACGTACCTGGCCAGGTTTTCCGCTGTACATACGCTCTCCTCTATTATAGCGTAACAATAGCCCGGGGGCTAGATTCCAGTTTCTGTTGTCCTGATGGAGTGGACAGCAGCACAGCTTGTGTTTATCATTTCCAATGCAGCCAGCCACTGAGCAGATATTAGCCTGGCCTTATCAGCAGGAGCCACAAAGAGCTGAGGGTGAAGTGGAGCGGATGCTGAGAGAACAGCTCCTCTGGGAATCAACTAATGATTGTCCCCGCTGATGGAGCCTGACGCTGGGCCTGAGGTGCCTCCACAACAACATCTCTGTAGAGGACAGCAACCATGTAATTTCAATGTTAACATAATAATCTTCTCATCATATAAAGCCGGAGTACACAGAACTGGTGACATTCAAACTCTATTTGCTTATAATTCAGGGTGGAAGAACATTGGTGGATTGAAAATGAAGCTGGCTTCAAGGTCTCCAAATCAGATTGGCTGGGATAGATCAGAGTTGCAGACATGAAAGATTTTTCATGATTATTTAAGGTAGTTATTTTCTTTTGGATTGTTTATCAGGTAAAGGCATTGTATATGATGCAAGATAAAACTTTCAGTGATGTTGGTTGCCAATGTAAACACCATTGCATATTGTAGTATAGCATCAGCACTGATCACTGATGTGATTGCAAAGAGTAACAACATTGTATGCTTGTGTAGAATAGAGCCATACTATTCAGCAACCCTCTGCTTATTTCCATGGCAAGGAACCCACCCAATCTCACCTGATCTTACTTACTCCTAATCAATGGTCTATTTTATAAGCTCCACCCATTTCCTTTGTTCTGGCTGGCAGCAATACAAACCACATGTGAGGGCCCTCTGTCTCTGTCATTCAGATACACATCTATGGTTGTGCGTGATAAAAAAACCATAACCGTCAAGCCTCATCATCTCCTGTTGCTCATGTGTGAATAGTGGCAATAAATGGCTTAAACGGAACCTTTTGTCCCTTCTGCATTCTTATCGATGTACCATGGTGATGTTCAAACTCCTGTGAACCAAATACAGAAAGATTTTACAAGCTTGCGTTGTAGAATAATTAAATTTCCATGTTGTTGGAGTTGTCAAAGTTCTAAAGAAATGGGTAATACCCAACAAGAAAAATAGGAAATCTGGAATCATTGTATCCAAAGGAGAGCCTTCGAAAACCCAGCTCAATGTGTTTAACTTAAATTTAAAGGTACCCTGTGGGGATTTTGACCACTAGCAATGCCATAGCAGATTGTTTTTATGCCAGTTTTGCTTGTTCTCCTGCATGTGCTTGTTAGTCAATACCCATTACTGCCAATGGTTTCAAAGTATTCCACGACTGACTCAAGTCGCACTTAAGGTACACACACAGTGACTTCAGACTTGACTTGAGACTCGTCCTCAAAAGCCTTTAGACTTGACTCGGACTCGAGGTGCAGGACTCGTGAACAATGTTTATTTTTGACAATGACTGTTGAATGAGCGTTTGTTTGCTTGCTAAACTTGTCGTAGTCCATTACCATAATCATTTACGTCCCACTGTCTGCCATCACGTTAATTATTAACGTTGGCTGCAAAGAGGTTACAGGTCTATTGTTGATCATGCAACGTTTTATTTAGTTAATTTTACACTGGTTTAAGAGTTGTTGTCGCAGTGTACATTACATGGTTGTGAGTGTAAGTGAAAAACAGGTTACAGTTACAGAATTCCGTATAGCTGTGCAGAGTTCTAAGCATAGACTGTTTATAAGAAGTGGACAATGTCACGTCACCTGTTGGTTTGTGGCCTGACGTTTTGAAGCCCTAAGTTTGGCCGATAGGCCGCTGCCATGTTGATTTTTTGCAACCAGCGGCACTGGACGTGACCATGTTTGGACAAGATGGTGGCGCTAACAGCCGTGTGTAGAGCTAGCTAGCTTGCTTAGCTAGGTGCATCTGTAATTTACGTTAACTGTCATTTTAACAGGGCTGAAAATTTATCTAGCAAACACCAATCTTAAAATTAAATGTACTCACCAGAGAAAGTGAACAGCCAACTCCTAATAAGCTTTTTCAACGGCGCTGGTTAAATTAACACAGTGCCGTGGGTACAAGTCACTCTAACCTGATTGTCAGGTCGCCATGGTAACAACCTGTCAATCACAGATAATCCAGCCCTGAAGCATACTTTGCTTTATAGTCTATTTACCTCTAAATGGGACCATAATGTACTAAATCAACATCATGTTGTATTGAAGAAGACATGAAACTAGCAATTGAGACCATAAACTCATTAGGAAAGTGTTTACTGGGGTAATTATTTAGCTGAGAAGTAGGGTCATTGGAACTGAACTTCTTTGTTCAACCAGAAGAGTCGCCCCCTGCTGGCTGTTCAATAGAATGCAGGTTTAAGGGACTTCCGCATGTCATGATCCTGTCTGTGTGTCTTGTTTGGGAGTCTGAGTTTAGTTCCATGTCCTTAGTTCATGTTTTGGTATTCATTCCTGGTCCTTGTTTGTATTATTGTGATTTGGTCTCCTGTGTACTCTGTGTTCTCGTTTAGGTTCTGGTTCTTGGTAACTTGTGTGTGTTTCTGTCTTCTTGGTTATTCACTCTGCCCCACGTCTGCTTGTCTAGTGTTCTCTCTGTTTCCCCCTGCTTGTCTCTCTGTCTCTGCCTCGTTAGCCCTGATCCCGCTCACCTGTGTTGCTCCCGCCCCTCTCGTTAGTCCCTGTGTATATGTATGCCTGCTTGTCTCTCCAGTCTTTGTCACGTCCTTGCGTCTATGTTGAGTGTTCTGTGTGGTGTTCTGTTCCCTGGATTTCTGGTTTGTTCCCCCATTTTGGATTACTCTGTCTTTGTGTTGGATTTGCCTTCTTCTGGATTACCTTTGTTTCGACCCTTGCTCCGAGCTTCCACGTAAGCCTGTTTAGTTATTTGAATAAACTTTATTTTGAACTGCATCCTCCTCTTGCCTCGCCATTGTCTGCATTTGGGTCCTCACCTCAGTCTGCACGCAGCACCCCGATCCGTGACACCGCATTGGATTCAGGTCTCAGACCAGAAGCTTCCCGCTTGTTTCTCAGCAGCCTGGTTTGAATGCAAGAGGTGATGCAACACTCATGATAACCACGAGAGACTTGGACTCTAGACAAAAATAATAATAATAATAATCTAGACAATAGGACCATATCCCACCTGGTTAGACTAAATATAATTTGGACCTGGCCTGGGTAGGCCTCAGTTACTAGCAAACAAGAGGACGTTGAAAGACCTCAAGCGAATAGTCAAAGTTTGACACCCTCAGTGTTAGCCATTGACATGCCGTCAAAATGTCAGAGCTTAAATGACTGCTGCCTTGCATTGACAAAGTGCAGTCCATTTATTAAGTGAATGTAATGTGTTTTACATTACATTTTTTGTCAAACTGCAATCTAATGTATTGTCTAAAATACTTCAAATATAAGCGTTCTAACATATCTAAATTTTGAAATATGAATATGTCACATGTGACACCTGCAGGTACCACTTCCATCAACACTTCCAGATGTGGGAAGTAGGTAATGGCTTCTTTGTGTTAATATGAAGCTCCATGTTTAACCCACTTTGACCACTGCTTTACATCTGAGCTGCAAAAAGACATTACATCTGTAATTTATTCTGAATTTCTTATCTAGAGTGACAAAGTCCAAAATTGACTGATCTGTGAAGGTTTGTTTTGCAAGCAGGGTGTAAACCTATAATAGATCAAGATGTATCACAGTTTTTGTAAAGCTCTGCCAACGTTACAATCAAATTTAGTGTCTGAAATATAACTGTTTTTAAAATATAGTCATATAGTCAATCAATTATTAATTCGGGTAATCCAGCTACTTTTGTAGTAAAACATGAAATTTCACTTGTTCATCACTTTAGTTTAGTCTTCAGAATAAAGACTCAACAAGCACAGATGATTCAGCATTGTGGAAGGTCAACACACAAAATTTAATATCTTTGAAATATTTCAGCTTCTTCACATTTCTGTGGATTATGCAGAGATTGTAGTGGAGGCAAAACTCTGAGACCAGAAACCTGGACAAATAAAACCAAAATCTATCTGCATAATACTAATAGAAGTAAGTGAGACAATGTGTTCTTTTGGCCCACCTGTGTAAAATGGATTATTCTTTTCTGAAGTAGGATGCTTAAGCCGCTTCTTCTGAAGCTGCTTCCTCCAGTTGTGTTCGATTATTCTGTCACTCCTCAGTGGCGTGCTGAGAGAGTGTGTTAATAAATGTTGTAATGATTCATTTCACTGCTCCCACTGTAACAATACCTCTACACCTGCAGCGAAGACAATTAAAATTCAGGTATAAAGTCATGTCTAATGACAACAATCCCCCCAGCTGGTGTTTGTGAGGAAAACATCAAATCTGGCGTGCGTTGTCGTTTTTTTCCTGACATGAAAAAGAGTCTGATCTTCTGAACCAGAGGCTGCACAGCATGTCATATGTTTGCTATGTATGATTCTGCATAGATCTGTTTTATCTCTACATGTAATTTCACACTTGTGCTTCCCTGAGTGCTGTGATGGGAGGTGTGACTGCTGTTGTACAGTTGAGGAAGTCTGCAGAGGTCGTCTTTGGTTTCTTGCAGATAACTTCTACTCTGAGCCTTTTGAAGGTTTTACAGTTTATTTTACAATTGCTAACAAGCATTTTTCAGTACAGTTTACTTTTTCAAAACTCTTCACACTGTCATCTGTACCAGCACACAGCTTGCACAGCAGTTAATTCGCACCCAAAATGCACCAAAACTACCAAAACACTCCATACTTGTTTCAATATTAAATAATTTTACAAAAACACCTGCAGTAGTTCTCTCCAACAGCAACACTTTGTCACTCATAACGTAAGTACCTAAAAAAACAATAACAGATAGCATTACAGTAGACACATCATTTTTTATATATATATTATTGTTGATGTGAAGAAATGTGTACATTACAGGTTTTTTTCAATTTTCTAAGATGCAATGGTCAAAACTGAAGTTAGTGTTTTGTAGGTCAGTGTGTTATGAGTGACAATGTACGCTTTCTGAATGAGAATTGTTGCCAGTGTTTTGTTTGAACAAGTTTAGTTTGAGGCTTCAATGAAGTGTTTTGGTGGTTTGAGTGACTTTTGGAGGGGAGATTAACTGTTTGGCCAAGATGCATGTTGGTAATGCAGACTGTGTGAAGAGTTTTGAAAAAGTGGCTTCAGTTTTGACCATTGCATCTTCACAATTGAGAAAATATTTTTTTTTTCTATATCACTGCATTCAGTAATTTACTTAGTAAGTTCCTCAAATTTCAGTGCTACAGTGCAGTTTTTCTCAGTTGTTTCCACAGTAACACTGGAACATGAGACAAAATGACCACAACCTCTAATTGATGCACCAGCCCCCTGAACAAATTCTGCAAAAATATGCACATTTCCTGCACTCAGCTTCAGTTTTATAGTAAAACCACATTCAAAACACAATACACTTTTCTCTACGCACATAGACGTAAACATAAAATGTATGTAAATCTTAGCTAAGCTCTCCTATATAATTCTTTCTGGTTGTTGCAGAAATGCAGGTCATTTGCCATCTTTCTGTTTTGAATGTGTTTTTAACAGTTTTGGACACAGTGTGTTAGCATCTGAAAAAATGTGCTGTAGATAAACAGTGTTTTGCAGGTGGTGAAGTAGTCAAGAGAAAAGAGTTCATGGATTTTGGAGAAAGTTCCCATTATGAAATACAGTAAGAATGGTATGTCTTTATAGAATGTACAACAGGAAGTTATTGAAATGCAAGAGGAAAACAGGAAAAGCTTCACTGTACTTTATCTTTGCCATCAAATAACTCAAAAATAAACTACAGTAAATGAAAATTACAAGGAAAACAAAAGTCAGCACTGTAAATGCTTGCTAAAAAAACAAAACAAAGTTACTTACAGTTTTTTCTGAATGCTTAAGCGCTAATCGTGA